AGAAGTTACTAACAATAATGACTACCCGATGATTTAGTATGAAATATCAGGGATAAGTTAAGATTTTGGTGTAGAGGTTAATTTGTTATATTTTGACGGTCATATTGATATGGACATGTTAATCAAGTTGCTACAGATAGGGGGGCGGTTTTTGAGCACAAGGATGTTTCACCTAATATTAAGTTACAGGAAAAAAACTTCTTTATGGTGGGAGAACTTGAAACGTATTCAACAGTGGGAAGGGATGAGCTAGATCGCTACTTGAACTAAAATAAAAAGGGATATATAACACAAATATCTTTTCCCATATTACCATCATGACATGTGCACAAATATATTTTCCCGTATTACCATCATGACATGTTCATAAAACTTAACAACTTGTGCCAGAGAGAATCTTCTATGGAGAAGTACACAGCTAACTTTGTTGTACTAATATTAAAATGTGAGCTAGTGAACTAGAAAACTATAATGGCGAGGTAACTTGGGGGACTTAGATCATCTATTAGAAATGTTGTGTAGCTGTAACCATATTTGTCTCTAATCGATTGTGCAAACACTAGCTTTAGAGATGGAGAGATAGCAATGTCACTAAGTAACTCACAATTTACAAGTAGAGTTCAAACGTAGGATATTGTAACAAGAATACACTTAGTGGAGCACTAAAGCCCACCTTGCCCAAGGAAAAGCCCATATAAAGTGGATAAAAGGTGGAGACCGATTGTACTCCTGAATATATTCCAGCAATGAAGAGTTTCAAGTACGTTATGTCTGATTGCACAAATAGGAGTGTGATCTATTTCACTTGAAAAGGAGCAGTTGAAGAAATAAAGTGACACAAAAGTGAATTAGGATGCTAGAGAAGAGTATCAACTTGTAGCGATAAGGGAAATGTTTTAGGGATTCATTGGGTCCATCTGGATAAGTTTGTAAGAGAAGAACCAATGATGTTAGAGAAGGCTATCCGAACATTGGTTGTCCTAGGTGACAGTGAGTTCCAGGAGTTGATACCAAACACATCATAGTCCATGCTAAGTGGATTTTAGGATTTTTTGACTTGCGGTTTATCTCTTAGGTTACCACTAAGGGTGGTCGAACATGTAATATTTCATTCCAGGGATGGTTTTCTCAGACAGACTTGTTTATTAGATGTGCTCAGTCGAGTACGAGGAGTGAGAGAAGCAGGTTATAAAATTAATGTTCCAAAACTTGGCCCAAGACAGAGCCTTTGTTGCTATGTTGCACAGATACAAACACAAGGACACATATACGATATTGACACATGATACTTTTATTATTAAAAATATAGGACAGAGACACATGATAGATGCACCATTATAAAAAAAAAATTATTCTTTATATATGCATTAAATAAATAAAATATTAAGAATAATAAAAAATCGAAAATAAGAAATTGAATAACATTATCTTTGAAAAACTAAAATGACCATAACTAGAATACCAACTCATGCCAGTGATTGATAAACCACTCAAGCTTGTTTGCGAGAAAAAAAATCGGGCAAATAAGTTGAACTGATAGGTTTAACCTTTAAATTAAAATAAATTATTACTTTTTTAGTTTTACTTGTAAAAATATACTAGTGTTTAAAATTTTTTTGTGAAGATTTTTAATTCACTAATTTATGGCATGTGTGTTCCTTTTTTATTTTAATATTATTTAAATCGGACATGTCCTTGACGTGTCCAACACGTTTTCAGCTTGTGTTGGTGTCCAAAAATTATCTAACACTACACAGTTCCTTACTCAGAAGTATCTGTGCATCATAATTTTCTTATGATTGTGGTAGATCAATTTTAGAAGCTTTATAGAAAGAAGACAAAGCTACTTCCCGGGTAGTGCGAGACACAAGTGGTACGCGGGGGCAAAGGCCAATGCGAAACCGCATTCAGTCACATGCCGTAGTATTTCCACGATTTCCTGTGATCACAAAATGTCGAACCATAGAAGATGGCCAATTTTTTGATTCCAGCCTAATTATCTTTTTTTATTTTTTTTTATTTTCTTTTTCTCTATTTCTAATTAGGTTAATTTCTATTAAGAAATTTTTATATATTTTGTATTTTGTTAATTTGAGGTAGCTAGCATTGTTTTGAGTATTTTGGAGATTGTAGTTTATATTTCCTACCTTGAGTGTCTGTAGTTTTTGCAGGAACAGGTTTTGAATCTTCTTGCCATCCCTACTTCGTCGTTTTAGAGATCTCTTTGTTGTTTTTCAGAAGGTGCATATCACTGTCAAATACTGTTGAACCCGCCCTCACTATTTCACTTCCCAAATCCCATTAGATCCTCTTCATAAACGTCTTGTAGGAACCCTGGAATGGTGTAAGTTAAGCCTCAAAATGTCTCTAAATGCAATTGCCATCATGATTTGCAATAAACAACGTTTTTGTCAATTTCAAAATTAAAGGTTGCCATACTAATAATTCCTTATCTTATAATTTCATTGTTACTTTCATTGGGTATTTTCTATATTAAAATATTGCATTTATTCTTTATTTACTTTTGATTGTATGGCTTAGCATGCTATATGAACTAGCAATTGAATATGTCTATTTGAAATCAATTATTCAGTCTTTTTTCAATTTAAATAAATTAAAATAATCATAAGATAAGTTTGTTCAGTTGTTTTTGTAGTGTGTTAGGAAGAAAATAACTTATTTTTAAAATATTCCAAATAAGTTTTAAGTTCCTTAAATATTTTGAAAATAGTTCTCTCAACTTCTTTACCCTTGGATCTTCTCCTTCCAACACTAGCTTTTTCTCGCGATTATATCTTGTATTGCTGTTGATGTGTTAGCAATCCATGATAACAAGCTCCATGAACATCTCCTACAAGCTGGAGACATTTTTATCGGTGTTGCTATTGATGCTAATTCAACTGAACTGGGGGCAAAGGCAAATGCAAAACCGCATTCAGTCACATGCAGTAGGATTTCCACGATTTCCTATGATCGCAGAATGGTGAACCACAAAAGATGGCCAGTTTTTTGATTCCAGCCCAATTTTCTTTTTTTTTTTTCATTATTTTTTAATTTTCTTTTTCTCTATTTCTAATTAGGTTTATTTTTATTGAGAAAGTTTTATATATTTTGTATTTTGTTAATTTGCGGTAGCTAGCTTTGTTTTGAGTATTTTGGAGATTGTAGTCTATATTTCGTACTTTGAGTGTCTATAGTTTTTGCAGGAAGAGGTTTTGAATCTTCTTGCCATCCCTACTTCGTCGTTTTAGGGATCTCTTTATTGTTTTCAGAAGGCGCTTATCATTGTCAGATATCTTTGAACCCGCACTCACTATTCCACTTCCCAAGTCCCATTCCATCCTCTTCATAAACTTCTTGTAGGAACCCTAGAATGGTGTAAGATAAGCCTCAAAATGTCTCTAAATGCAATTGCCATCATGATTTGCAATTAACAACGTTTTTGTCAATTTCAAAATTAAAGGTTGCCATACTAGTAATTCCTTATCTTATAATTTCATTGTTGCTTTTATTTGGTATTTTCTACATTAAAATATTGCATTTATAATTTATTTACTTTTGATTGTATGGCTTAGCATGCTATATGAACTAGCAATTGAATATGTCTATTTGAAATCAATTATTCAGTCTTTTTTCAATTTAAATAAATTAAAATAATCATAAGATAAGTTTGTTCAGTTGTTTTTGTAGTGTGTTAGGAAGAAAATAACTTATTTTGGAAATACTCCAAATAAGTTTTAAATTCCTTAAATATTTTGAAAATAGTTCTCTCAAGTTCTTTACCCTTGGTTCTTCCCCTTCCAACACTAGCTTTTTCTTGCGATTATATCTTTTATTGCTGTTGATGTGTTAGCAACCCATGATAACAAGCTCCATGAACGTCTCCTACAAGCTGGAGGCATTTTTATAGGTGTTGCTACTGATGCTAATGCAACTGAACTGGGTGAAGGAAGTTGCATGCTCACGTCCTTTTCCATCTGGAGGAGATTGGAAACCCTGAGTTGGTCAAGGTCAATTTGTTGGCTGTAATGGTTCCAGATGATGCTGAAGCTTGTTACGTTACTTGATTCAAGGATATGGGTGCTAGCTTAGGGCTTAAGGATGAAGCATTCATTACCATTAATGATTTTTTATTTATCATTTCAAATTGTTGAGGCAAAGTTCCGTTTAGCTCATTCGAAACCTTGTACCCTCCAGTTGTAGTCTGAGTAGAGGCAATTTAGCACAGGACTTATGAGTTTTGAGATAAACTACATATTTTTTTTTTGTGTTGTTTATAGTTGAATAAGAAAAAAAAAAGGTTTTTGTTTAATGGTAGAATATAAAGAAAGCAAAAGCAACGTTGATAAAATAATAATAATAATGATAACTATCCCAACTGGCCTCTGGGAAGTTGGTAATCAGGATTGTTATTTCTTTTGGCATAATAATTTGTTGACTTTTTCCATAACCGTTGAATTGCATGGTGTATCTTGCATCATTTTTGTCATGGTTTCCATTTTGGTTTTTGGTCCCCAATACACGGTTGATTTTAGAGAGAAAAATCAATAATTTTTTAGATCCTAGCCACCCAAAGCAGCTCGTCCATGTGATGAGAGTAGTTGCACCATAAATTTACAATGGTAGCCATAGAGGCCCTATATGCTATTGAGCAAAAGCTGCTTTTGGTGATCATTCTCGCCTTCATAAATTGTGTACCAAATACTAGTGTTATTTCTTCATCAATTGTTTTCCAAAACACTTCGGCATACCAGAACCTTCTGATGATTTAATAACTTATTTCATGGTGCTGATAGATCTTTAGCCATTATTTGCTCTAATTTTATTTTTCATAAAGGATTCTTCTATTTTCATTTTATTTTCCCAAAATGAGTACAATTTAGTTTCTTTTTTCTTTCTGATACTCTGTCAAGAAAGGACAACTGTTCTTTTTTTTTTTCTTTTTTTTTCTTTTCCCCTGCTTAATGAGTAAAGCTTAACTTGAGATTGCATGGGTGCAGCTTGTCAAGCTTCCTCGCTCGCCAAATGTTGATGATATTTTGAAGAAGTACCTAGAGTATCGAACTAAAAAGGATGGCATGTAAGTTCCTACTTTACACATTTTTTGTTATTTACTAACCGAGTGTGATAGTGGCATGTATTCTATGAATAAAGGAATCATCTTTTATCATAAGGACGATTGTAATAGATCGAGAACTACAAAAGCATTAGGATTGAAAGATGGCAAAGCCATAAATGGCATTGTTGGAAATTATACATTTTGTCAAGCAACAAAGGACTAGGCTGCATATGTAACCCTGGATACGAGTGATGCCAAAGAGAATTCTATAAGCTTTTAAAATGTAAATGCGGAAGATTTCTCTCGTCACTAGATTGGCTGTTTATGATTATTCTGCATGCTGTATCATTTTGGGAAGCAAAACCTTTTTTTGTTGCTAATGTTTGTATCGTAGCAGCTGAAAAACTAGTTATGTTTTCTACAAATAAGATATACCACGATTAACAAGAGTGCGGTATTGAAATTGGAAAAATTAATGAAATAGGAATGCAGATTATCGCATATTGTTCCATAACATTTTTGCTAGCATACTTCTAGCTAAGCTAATATAACCAAACTATAGCTTGAACAAATTAAGAAATAAATAGTTGGATTTCTTTAGTTTGTTTTTGATTTTCACAATCTTTAGGACATGGTTACTTGAACAACATTTACGACATGGTTGCTTTACAATCTTTAGGACATGTCTATCCTATATAGGCTCAACTCAAAATTTGCTGTGAGATTGGATTTCAATACCAAAGTGGGAAATAAATTTTATTGAGAGATGAGATTATCGTTTTTTTTTAATGCATCTTAGTAATCTGTCTGCAATTGTGTGGAATATGATTTGTTTGGTTACCTGTTGATTAATTAATCTACTGGACCCAAACTTTTTTCCAAGCCTATAATTTCCTGTTAAGCTAGTTCATATTGCTAAACCATTTAATTTCCTATATGACATCTCACTAGGGAACTTGAGACCTTATGTTTGGGTAGGAGTGATGCCAAAGAGAATTCTATAAGCTTTTAAAATGTAAATGCGGAAGATTTCTCTCGTCACTAGATTGGCTGTTTATGATTATTCTGCATGCTGTATCATTTTGGGAAGCAAAACCTTTTTTTGTTGCTAATGTTTGTATCGTAGCAGCTGAAAAACTAGTTATGTTTTCTACAAATAAGATATACCACGATTAACAAGAGTGCGGTATTGAAATTGGAAAAATTAATGAAATAGGAATGCAGATTATCGCATATTGTTCCATAACATTTTTGCTAGCATACTTCTAGCTAAGCTAATATAACCAAACTATAGCTTGAACAAATTAAGAAATAAATAGTTGGATTTCTTTAGTTTGTTTTTGATTTTCACAATCTTTAGGACATGGTTACTTGAACAACATTTACGACATGGTTGCTTTACAATCTTTAGGACATGTCTACCCTATAGGCTCAACTCAAAATTTGATGTGAGATAGGATTTCAATATCAAAGTGGGAAATAAATTTTATTGAGGGATGAGATTGTTGTTTTTTTTAATGCATCTTAGTAATCTGTCTGCAATTGTGTGGAATATGATTTGTTTGGTTACCTGTTGATTAATTAATCTACTGGACCCAAACTTTTTTCCAAGCCTATAATTTCCTGTTAAGCTAGTTCATATTGCTAAACCATTTAATTTCTTATATGACATCTCACTAGGAAACTTGAGACCTTAAGTTTTAGACTGCCATTATTTATCTCATATGAACTGAGATTTGATGCAAGGGCCACATTTGTGTGTATACTCGTGTTCTTGCTCCTGTTGTTGTCTTGTTTTTTTCTAATGTAATAACTTGTGTTCTTCATAATTTTTCATGTTTTTGAGCACAATAAAATTGACGTGGGTGCTATTATCTTCTTCTTCTCAATTGATTTATGTCTAATTTATGAAATCATATTTTCTATGGATTCGTTAATAATTCAAACTGGATTGGTTAACTTATAGTAAGTTGTTCTATGAGTTCTTTCACATTTCTTCCCATCCATCACCTGCATATCTTTTTTTATTTTCAATAAGCTTGAAACATTTTGCTTAAAATTATCTCATTCATATCTTTTATGTTTGTCTTGATGTTTTTAAAGGATTGCTGAATCTGTTGTGGAGATTCTGAAGGGTATACGATGTTATTTTGACAAAGCATTACCCCTCATGCTGTTGTACAAAAAGGAGCGCCAACAATACCAAGAAGCGGTCCATGATAGCATATCTCCATCATCTATTTATGGGGCTGAACATCTTCTTCGTCTTTTTGGTATGCATATTTTATCATATTTCTTTAATTTTGTATATGTTCACCAATTTGTAACACTATGCATATTATAATAATATATAGTTTATTATCTTGATATGTGCATGAGGTCTCTGACTCATCTAATTGGCTTCCTAATTTTTTGTGAATGTTGTTAGACCTCAATTTCGTTTAGTAGATCATTCCTATCTCACTCGGGGTCTATTTGGGGCAGCTGCAGCTTCTCAGCTTTTCAGCTGTAGTTGCGCTGTTTCAGGAAGCTACTGTGGGGAAACTGACTATCTGTTTTTTGTAGCTGTGTGAAAACAACCGTGGTTGGAAAAATGGTCATTCTGCCTCTGATTAGTAAAGCTGTTTGAAATAGAGCTGTGACAGCAACATATTTGATAATTCAGAATCAGAAATTCATTTCAAAACAAAAGAAAGTTCAGATACACAACTCACTTAACTGTGAATATCGAAAGTGCTAAAGAAAAAGAAAAAAAACCTAATACAATTACATGTAAAATAATGATGATATTATTTTTAAAACACTTGATACAAGTGAAACTACACAATTACGCTGCAACCTGCTATATTAGAATGAAATTGCAGGTTTTAAAACATAGATTCCTCCACCTTTTTTGACAATAGCTGTTGTAATATAAAAACCAAAAAAATATTTGTTATATATGTTCGATTCAATGCTTAATATCAAACGAAGAGCTGTTAAACCATAGAAGAAAACCACGCTCAAACCATCCAGAGTCCAGAAGATGAACTTGCAGGGTAGAAAGAAGAACCCATGCATGAACTTCGAGGAACTATGGGATCATCAAAGATTATACAGCAGTAATAATGAAAGAAACAAATACTGTTTGATATAAATCAAAAGCTCACACGATAAGGGTCAAAACAGTCAAATCTCATGTATTATGGATTCCCAAACATCAGCCAAATGCAGAATGGTGTCCTTGTCAATTAGTTTTCCCTATGTAAAGAGGCTTAAGAAAAGAAAGCTTCTCTTAAATCATTTCTTAGAACTTAGCTATATGCCACACTAGGACCAAGACCTCCATAATCCTCTGGTCAATAAACAGGTTTGTTATTTGTGATATAAGCAAAAAAATATGCGATAGTTACTGAAAAACTCTCAGATTCCTATAGAAGGTTTGGAGTAAAAATTGAAACTCAATATATTTTTAGTTCAATAGAAAGATGAAGAATGCACACCATCAAACTCTTTGACGGGAAACCACCATCAACATTACCTTTCATCCCAATCAAATTAGCTCAGCTTAATGCTTACTTCATTGCAAATACTTAAGTTGAAATGGTTTAAATAATTTGTAACAATGCATCATGTATGAAATTTTTGTCACCATAATATTTATTATCTTTTTTTCAAAGCTTACTCTAGTCACCCAAATTGGTTGTGCTTGTGAAGAATGTGGTTGATATGCAGTAATAGAATTATAAAATTAGTAATTCCCTAGTTTCGTGGGTTCAAAGATTCCTCTCGTACACAGGAAAAGAAAATGTGATAAAGATTAATGATAACCTCTTAACGGTTTCCCCTTTATTTGACTTTTAAAAATGTATAGGCAAAATGATTCATGAATCCTAAAAAAGATAGTACAAAAGATTAAGATCTGGAAATAATCACAGTGTGTTACAGAGGAACTTAAAAACCATCTTTTCAAGATAAAATATATATCTATTAGAAAGAAAAAATTTCTGATCATGTGACAGGGAGGGAGCGACAGGGAGAAGGGAGAGGATACCTGACTCGACAGTGAGGGAGGAGCGCGAGCCAGAGTCGAGCAAAGGAATCAAACCAACACGACAGGGGGAAGGGGGCCGTGAGAGCTTCGACATTGAAAAGAAGAAATTTGGTTAGGGTAGAGCCGGGAGGGGTATTATGGACGAGCACTACAAATATCTCCCCTACGAATGTGAGCCGCGGGGTTCGATCCGCGGCCAGCATTCCTCCAAATTCGCTTGCCGCAGCGAGCGGGACGCCGAAACAACAAAATATTACGACTCGCCGCCACAATGCAGTCTGACTGCGGTCCCAAACGAGCCCTCAAAAGGAAATGGTAATGGGTGAAGAAGAGCATGCTATTTTGCATCTTAGCTACCACCAAAAAGGTTAAAAGGTGAAAATATAATGCAAGAATTTTACTATTCTTAGCTACCACGCATTAAATAGAGCTGAAATTGATGGAGTAGGATTCCCACATGATGGTTGTCATCATTTGGGGGAAATTACTTACACTCTTGCTTGAGCTCTGAAGTTTAGTTTTGAGTTGCTAATTAACTTTTTTTTTACACTGTTCTAGGAGGAGGGGAGGGGGGTGTGGAAAACTGGAGTTAACGGCAATGAGACAGTGAACTAGAAGCAGCGAAGGGTAGTTTTTGGTTGTAAACAGCCGTTGGAGGCGTTGGGAAGGGCTGCAGAAAGCGAAATATGCGGTGATACAGCAGTTGGGGCGAGCTCGACTGCTGTCCGGACTGGAATCAGCAGCCTAACGAAGAATCGGTGACGTGCGGGTGGATGGACAGAGAGACGGAACATATAACAGCGGTTTCCTGCTGCGAACAACAATTTTCTGCAGGTTAAACGATGGAGGTCTGCGAACATCCGTGAGAGATTATCACCTAGATCCTATTAGCTTAAAAACACACAACTTGAAAGAAATTTAATGATGCAGCATTCCAATCAAAATAACTAGGAGAAAACATTTCCAAATAACATAACAAAATAGCAAAAAAATTTTATTTGAACTTGAAGCAACAAAAGGTAGTTTTTGGTTGTAAACAGCAGATGGAGGCATTGGGAAGGGTTGCAGGAAGCGAAACATGCGGTGATACAGCGGTTGTGGCGAGTTTGACTGCTGTCCAGACTGAAATCAGCAGTCTAATGATGAATCGGTGAGGTGCGGGTGGATGGACAGAGAGATGGAACAGAGAACAATGGGTTTCCTGCTGCAAACAACAATTTTCTGCATGTTAGACGATGAAGGAGGTTTGTGAACATCCGTGAGAGATCATCACCTAGATCCTATTAGGCTACAAACACAGCGCCTGAAAGAAATTTAATGATGAAACTCTCCAATCAAAATATCTAAGAGAAAACATCTCCAAATAACATAACAATAGCAAAAAAAATTCCAAATCAAAATGAAACAACATATAAATAGTCTCCCAAATAAAAACCCTACTTGGAAAAAAGAAAAATAGGAAATAAAGAAAAATGAAATATACGAATATGAAATAAACTAGAGAAGAATAAAATCTTATATAAAAAAGAAATTCGGACGACGGTTTTCAGGATCCCTTCGATTGCGCATTTTACTGCTCCTATGATCTTGCGGTTGCGGAACAGATGCTCCGCGTCGATCTCCAGAGCAAGGAGAAGCTTTTTCTTCTTCTCTGGAAGGACCGACATCCTACTGTTAGATGTTCTTTCCCACAAAGCATCAAAGGAAATGTCTAACCCTTTGGTTCACCCCTTTCGTCTAGTTATATGTTGTTGGGTGCACTGCTGAAGTAAATTGAATTTTAATACCAAGCTTATTCCATAGGGACTTAACGAGAATTGCTAAAAAACTTCTCATTTATGATATGTTAGACCTCACTCAGCAGTGGTAATTTAGATAGTTGGTTGTATGTCTAAAATACTGAAATTCTTTTATCTGGTTTTGACATGTGTCTAATATCGGTCCCTCGAGCTTATGCACCTCTTGGATAACCAAGGGTAGTCCTGATGCTTCTCATAACGCCTGCAAAAAGGTAGTTTGTGGCGTCACATCTTCAAACTCTATATGAACATCCATTTTCTCAGACTCTATATCTTGTAGGGCAACCATTGATAATCTTGTCAGAGTCTCTCTTTTGGGCTCAACTTGAATTACTAGCATTCTCCCTCGTATGCCACAAGCTAATACTCTTCAATCTCCTCGGTTTTCATCCACTGCCTCCTCCATGGTACCCTGGTCGATGAAAGAAATCATTTTCTTGTTTGGGCAATTTGATGCATTGTGCCCAAATTCGCCAGGCTGAAATGGATTTGGGAGTGCTGACAAGCTCCATGATTGACTTATCTTCGGGTGGTGTCAGCTTGGGTGCTCCATTGGGTGTATTTTTGCAATCTCATGCTGGGGTTGAACTTTACCTGTAAGGTGTGTTTGTCACCTAGTAACATTGTTTCTCTACCTTCATAACTAGAGTTTGTATGTTTAATAGGGACCAATATGGCTGCAGCTGCAAGACATTACTAATAGAAGACTTCAGTCCTCTAAGATACCTCACTATAATGTGCTCCTCCAGTCCTACCAAAGCACATTTCAAAATAAGTTGTGCAAAAGTAGCTGTGTAATCTTTCAAAGAACTATCTCTTTGGTGCAAGTTGTGGAGCTATATGAACATGTCTTGTCACTAATGTGGGGCAAGATAGTTAAGCTTCGCTTTTCTTGTCATATTGGACCACCTAGTGATCTTAGTTTTAACTTCTTGTTACTGAGTAAGTTTCAGGTTCTCCCACCATAATGAACTTTTTTCATGAGCTTGATGGCTATCATTTTAATTCTTGCTGCAGCTGCAAGACATTACTAATAGACGACCTCAGTCCTCTAAGGTACCTCGCTATAATGTGCTCTTCTAGTCCTACCAAAGCACATTTCAAAATAAGTTGTGCAAAATTAGCTTTGTAATCCTTCAAAGAACTATCTCTTTGGTGCAAGTTGTGGAGCTATATGAACATGTCTTGTCGCTAATGTGGGGCAAGATAGTTAAGCTTCGCTTTTCTTGTCATATTGGACCACCTAGTGATCTTAGTCTTAACTTCACGTTGCCGAGTAAGTTTCAGGTTCTCTCACCACAATGAAACTTTTTTCTTGAGCTTGATGGCTATCATTTTAATTCTCTTGTCCTAAGAAACATCCTTGTACTAAAAATTTTGCTTTTGTATTTGAAGACACTCGATAAACTCATTTGGATCCATGCAATTGTCAAAAGTTGGT